AGCAACAGTTCTTGTGAGGTTTTGTTTTGAAGGCAGAGAGAAAGGTTCATTTTTTTGTACGAAAAGAGTGATTTGTTTTGTTGTCTGTTTTAACTTGCACCAAAGAATGACGGACAAACTGTAACGTGAGCTACCGTAACGTGAGTTACCGAAATAAATCCCTCAAGAGATTTTATGATTGATTATTTTTTGAACTGGCTTACATCGTTATGATGCAAGGGCACTAATTATAAAAAGTTTCGTCCATCAGTGCACAATATGAGACAAATTTTAAATGCAGGGTATGTCCTACGTGAGTTACCGATAAAAAAAAACACCTTTTAGCCAAGCCAACAGAGGTTAAATATTTGGCGTTATAAATGCTGTGACTTTATAGAATAACGGCACAGAGTTAAGACCCCCTCGAATTATAACGTGAGTTTATGGAATAGACCATTATCAGGTTGCGGCAATCTTCATTTTCCCCCATTCAAATCAACTTAACCAAAGCGAGGTTGGAAGGAGAAAGTCTGGTTCCTTTTTTGCACAAAAAAAATATAATTCAGTACTGTTATTGGATACAGGGAACATGACTGAAATGGTGGCAGCATGATAAAGGTCTATGTCGGGTACGCCATTTTGATATTTCGGGGAAACCTAATTGAGATATCCATCCATTTTTAAGATTGTCAATCTGCTGTAAGTTTGCGAGAGTCCCTCGTTCACTGCACAAACTATTAACGCCGCCATGTTTGTGGGCGTTATTTGCCTCGCTATGATTTTCAAGATGGCGTACCCTGATAAAGGTCTATTGCCCTTATGAATTAATGCCAGATATTGATGAAACCTGCTTTTGTATAGGTTGATTTAAAGGTACATATACATAAACCCTGTATTTTTTCATTTGAAGCAGTAAAGTATCATCAAGTCTTATTAGTGTGCATAACATATAACATGTTTCAACTCGGTGGATTCTATACGGTTTGAGAAAGCAGAGAAAATGAGAGCCAACTTTTTGATTTGGTCTTGTACCTGGATTCTCTTGCCAACACACGTAAACAGTTTGCCCGTGACCAACCTTCAGTGTTACTTTTCTTCGAAACGATATACCATTTCACTAGGTGAATAATTTCATAAGGTATTTGTTACCTGTTCCTATCTTCACTTTGAGCAAGGTTTCTGTCCTTAAACTGTGAGGTACTTTCCTGGGTCATTGCAAAATAATGATCCTACATGTACATGTAGGCCTACATGCACTGGCTTTGAATTGTACATGTGCTGTTGTATATTGTAGTACACATGTTTATGAACTCCTGATACTGGTGTTAAGTTGGAGATGGAAAATTTAAATGCATTGAAAAGATGCTGAATTGCAAGAGATGCCCGACTTTTGATATTTTTGTATAAAGCCTTATTTATGTGGAATGCTAAACAAAAGTACTGTACGGTCACATTCCACCAATGTTGCTCACCGATGTTGCTCACTGATGTTGCTCATATATTAACCATAAATGTGACGAGCATGTGAATAGTTCAGAATACCTTTGCTAACGGAAAATATATTTGGAATGGAGCAAACGTCAAAGAAGTAATGAAATTAAACTTGTTTTTTTTTTGTATGATCATCCTGTCTGTCACTGTAATTCCTCTGCCCTTCAATTTTCTTTCATGCAATTACCGGCGGTCCGTTACCGGTTTGTAGTGCATGCATTTTATACTTTTACGGATAATTGATTTTCATATCCGGCAGTTGCCAAAGGACAATAAAAATGCCTATATACCTACGCATAAATTTGGCCGTGTTAAACGTTTTTGTGTGCATAATTATAATAGAAGCCGTGCGATTTTTTGGAAACAATTAACAGGAGAATTTATACTCCAATTTTGCAAAACACACGACTTTTGTTCTCTTTTTTTTCTCGAAAAATTTACAAGCATAAGTATCACTTTTCCGTTCCCATAATTGTTTTTAATATAAACATCAAAATGAAATTATATTTGCAATTACCGAAAACCTGTAATATGAAAAAAAAAATTACGTTCTTGGAAAAACATGTCTAGAACCTAATACAAGAGAACGAATTTGAATATGCGGTTCACCCTCTTCACTTTAATATCGCTCCCTCCCCCCCCCCCCAAAAAAAAATAGCGGTACGCATTTTGACGTCCATGCAGAAGCTCGCGGGTCCCAGTCCGGTGTCATGTGAAATGTGGACTCCTACGAAATCTGTTCTCTTTTACCCTAATGTGGTGTCTAACCCTCACACGCGACCTGTCACTAAGGCATGCGCAATACAACCAATTAGTCCGCATTTCATTGTCCCAATCTTACAGTGCACCTAATGGAACGTGGACTCAATCTGGTATCTCGTACTTTAAAACAAATGAGTCCATATTTCATACAGTCCAATTTTCACACTTCACTGGTACCCTATACCTGGACAGGGTGAGTCCAAAAAAGCGGAACCCAAACCCAAGCAACAAATATCTTTTTTATAATAATATGTATCACCAAAATAATTATGACTGATAAGCCAATTAAATAAACTACTTTTTGTTGAAAAAAATACTTCCTTTGCTGAATCCGTTTAAATTATATCACCATTTAAACGAAAGGACCCTAAAAAATGCGATTTGTCGTATACAATTGTCTGCAAACATCACCAGCGATAAAACCTCAGTTTAAAAGTTAAAAGTATTCAACAAAGTCCTTTTGAAGGCCCGTCTTTAAAAACAAAAGTGGATTTTATGAATCCTATTGTTGGGTATGCCTACTGCAGTTGTTGAAACAATTTTCTTTGCTGTTCCAAATAGTCGGAACACACAATAAATTCCTTTTTAGACGAAACTGAATTTAGGGTTTAGATCGTTTCCTAGTGATACAATTTTAACGTGTAGAGCAATTGAAATTATTTTCTTACTTAAAAGTAGTTTAATAAATGGGTTTCCTAGTCACAATTAATGTTGGTGCTACATATGTTTTTTGATAATATATTTCTTTGTTTTAGGGTTCCGCTTTTTTGACTCGCCCTGTATTTCACAGGAATAGCCTGTATGACCCTGTGCGAAGGATGGCCTGCGAATTATACTTCCAGTAATAACGCGGAGGAAAGACAATGAATATGCTTTCCTGTGATTACAGCAATTAAATTTGGGATTCAAAATATGTACCATTACCACCTTCTTTCAAAGTTATAATTAACAATGTCAATAAGACGTTTCTAAATTTATTTTGTGTTCACAATGAAGGGAAATTGTTTCGGAGTTACTTGCTTGTCATGTGTAATTTAACACAAACTATATATAGGCCTATCATAAAGTACACGTCTCTAAGTAATGTATTTCCACAATGGATGCATTTAAAATATTTAAATTCAATGTTGTTTACATATTTATATTATCATTGCATTTCCTCGTTAATCTCATTTACAGAGTAACTGTACATATAGTTTGCTTTAGGCTATCAGCTTTAGTCCAAAAATTGGGCCACCGGTATCAAATGATCGAAAGGAGCAATGCTCATAGCGATTTTCGGCAAGTTATGCACGTCTAGAGTTGGGAAGTGTGTGATAACTTTGCAGTGTGAGCAGTGGCAGTTCTTTGAGTGTTATCCCATTTATTTTTTATTTATTTCTTTTCAAAATGGCCGCCACTATGCTTGTTACCGGATTAATGATATGTGGAAACAAGCCTGTTTTTGGCCGCCATTTGTTTTAAAAAGTGATAGCACCCAATAAGCTGCCACCACTGCAATGCTTTCACATATTGTTCAACTACAGGGGTGCATACCTTGACAAAAATCACAATGAGCACAATTGCCCTCGATACCGACCACACCCCCAGTGATGGCCTACTTCCTCAACTGTCTGAGATTCTTTTTATGGTTGCAGATCAGTAAGAAGACTGACATAGACCTCAGTGATGATTACGTACACTTCCCAATATTGTTTCAAATACTCACAATTCTCCAAGGTGTTTGAGACACACATCAGATTAAAACTGATTTCATCAACTTTCATTTTCTGTTCAATTTGTTTGGGGGTTAACCATTGCTTTTTGGGAGAAAATTCAATCCAATGATAATCACCCCCAAAAAGTAGTTATGAAGGCCATCACAATTTTAAAAAGGACGCGTACGCCCCATTACAAAATAAAACCATTTGAGGGCCTATGAATGTCATCCGAATTTCACGGAAATACGAGCTCGCAGTCCTCTGCACGGCTTCCACCCTTCTTTTTTTCAAACTCTCAAGTTCATGGCCCTAAAAATGCTCTAATATCGGAGACTTTGAGGGCATGCAAATCGTGATTTGTCCGGCGTACGCAATTTCGGAGTTCTTTACTGGCCTGCAGGCGCGGTTCTAGTGCCAATATTTGCGGGGGGGGGGGGGGGGGGGCTAGCAGGGTGGATCAAAATTTGTTTCAGGGAGGCGTGCTGAAATGTAGACCGGTTATTTTCTCCGGACACTTAGGCCTCCGAAAATCAATAGGGGGGTGGGGGTGGGCTTGTGCCATATTTTCAATAGGGAGCGCTGATAAAATCCTACAACCAGGCACACTATATTAACTAAAAGTGTACAAATGCACCCTTCTCACGACTATTTATTTAGGGGGAGACCGCATTTAGGGGGAGTTCGCATGTACGTCACATTCTTACATTTTGCTAGTCCAATTTTTTTAATGGATTTTTGTGGGGGGTTGGTAGACAATTTTTTTTTGGGGGGGGGGGGCTACAGCCCCCCTACCCCCCCCTCCCCCCCCCGTAGAACCGCCACTGCTGGCCTGCACCCCTATACAATTTAACATTGCAATACAAAATATCTGGATAGATTCTATTTCAATTAATTTTTCGATATTTGATATTGAATTTACATTGGGTTTTTTTTTAGCACTATTCTACAACCCACTTTCCTTATGCTTAAATAAATTTTAAAAATATTTGATCAAATACAATTTCTACTATTTCTACATACACACCGATTTTTTTTTAGCAAAAAAGGGAAAATAATTTCTTTTGAAACTTAGTCACAACGAAGTATACATCATTTGTATGCGTTGTTTGTGCGTTAATTGGCCGATACATGTAATTGAGTCGGCAAGCTTATTTAGCTTATTTAGCGCACATTCAATTTTATACGCGAGATCCTTGATCAAAGAGCCTTCACAAAACGCATTTAAAATGCCAACCCTATTGGGATTCTATGATGACAAAACATGTCATGCTTTAAAGGCGCAATGATCAAAATTCCCACTTCAAATGTTTTTCTTCTTGAAAAAACTTAAGATGGTGTTCACATTGAAACAGCACTAGATCAAGAATCAGTGTTGGAAACAGGGCTATAAGTTAAGTGGCTTGTTGCATGATTCCCTGCCTACAGACTTGACGGTCCCGTTGCATTCCTGGTGGCTGGTTTGAGCAAGTTCGAGCCAGAATTCCAGTTAACCATAGTTCGACTATCCTCAGTCCAACTCATGCTAGTCTATACAAATTATTCGCCACTATCTTGCCGAGGTCAACCTCGTCCCCAGGGCCTACTTTATTATTAGTCACCTCGTTTCCAATTGTAGCTGGTAGAGAGAGACCAGGTAGTGGGAGCAAATACTGCTCGACACAATGGGGACGAGGCAGTGCCGAGGTTGGTTACATCGATGGTTACAACAGAGGCTGGGGCGCAACCTAATGTACTGCAGGGAGACGTGACAAATTAGTTTCGTGATGACGTTTTGCCCATCGTTTAAAGACGTACACCGGGCATGAGTTTTGTTACAACTCGACCACCAGTCAACAAGTGGTCCTCGATCGAACTTGTTCAGTCTTCATCTTGCATGGCGAGACTGATCGAGATGATCGACAGCTTTCAGACAGGATAAGCACGCCCTCACCAAACCTGAGCTGAACTGAGAAAGAAGCGATCAGTGGTTAATTACTGACGAATTTTTAAATTGAGATAAAAGTGGGTTTATTAAGAGTACAAATGAATTTGATGGAAATATCTTCTATTTTCCACCTGAACAGGTATCTTATCCTTTGTAGTCTTCTTTTAAACCTTTTCAGCATCATAAATATGTCAAATATCAAAGTCATTGCACAAATGAAAGACAATTGCACAGTGGGCTTAAAGTAAAACATTTCACTGTTTAAAGAACTATTGGAAAGGATGATTATTCACTTCTTTTACATAATTGGCATTTTCTCAGCAACCCAATGTGCTGTTTTCATGATTTTTTTTCAGTATTTGAAAGGAAAAGCTCTCAGCTTGAATCTGATACCCAAAATATAAAAATTCACACTTCACGTTTTCGAAAAAAGCAAATGTTTTAGAGGTGCATTTTTGGGTCACCCTGTAGGTTAAACTTGAGCAAGATGGAACAAGAGGTCAAAATGAGGCAGTCAAAACTTTTTTTGCGAAGGACATTTTACAACTGGAAGCAAATCTATCTCAAATTATTGTAAAATTGAGCTTTTTTCGTTTAGCTGGTAAAGATCCAGACACTTACAATTTGAATTTTATATTTCCCATCGCCAGTGAATTATTGTTCGCTATACTTACACAGCGCTGTAGCCATGGCACGTGACATCCACGTCACATGACAGATTGAAACCTAAACAAAAACAAAACCACAAAAAAGAGAGACATTAAATGGTTATAACATGCATTTTATACTGGAACAGTTTTGTGCGAATACCCATTAACCCTTTTAAATGTATGAATACTCTGAGACATCCCCTTTTGGTTTAAGTTTCTTTTGTGAAAGTACATTATTTTTGTAAGCATTCAAAATGCTGCATGCTTTTCCCGGCAACCGAGGGCGCTGTTGCTGTGATGCCATTTACATAGGTACATGTACAAGGTCACTCTACAGTTAAGGGGCAAATTGTGAACCCACAATTTTGCCCATTAAAATATTCCAGCAGTTTGTCGTATCCTGAATCAACAATGAATCACAAAACCCCAAGAACAATTTACAAAGGAAACAATTAATTATGTAAAAGCCTACTAGTACTGTAACATCATGTGGAATATTCCGTTTTTAGAAGATGTGTGATTAGGAAAAGAAACGGTTGGTTGTGAAACTCGACGTTCCGATCAGTATGCTCTGGAAGTCTTCTCAAAAAGAGATTATTCCAGATTGTTTTAATCACATTTGATTACCAACCTATCATAGTCACTTAATCTCTTATGTCCGCCCACTCTACATTTCACTCGGACATAACCGGCAAAGACTCAGTCATGCTTACAACCCATACTAAGCCATACAAGTCACCAGAGAAGAAGTGTCACTGAATGGGATAGTGCCATCCCTTTTCCAAACTTCTATGTTATACTCCTTGCCCCACCCCGGGGTATTGTGGGTCGATGGCCATCAAAAACTGCCCGAGAATACCGTCTTGATTAACAAGCGAGGTATCTTCAGGTTGCTTCTATCTCTGTTTCTCAGTACTTCAAGTACATCCACAGACTTGTAACAATCAGTCTGCCACACACGAGACACAATATCTCACGTTCCACCACATGTACACTTCATTTCGGAAAACCAACAACCATATTTCCGCATACGGAAAACATGATCTTGACTTGTTATAACAACATAAAAACGCTATGCTAGCAGAAGCATAAGCACTTGATAAATGGACATACAAATTATCCGCAGACGGATAAACTATACCCATTTTACACCAAACAACACAAAACAAGACAAAAACCCACAAACCTAACCCCAAAACAAAGGGTTCAAAACAGTATTGGCCTCCCCAAAAAAATCATAAATCAATCTCAACATTGAATGGTACAAACAAAATAAACAACCCACATTTGGGAAAGAAAAAGTACCATCTCCACATAAATATGCATTCGTATTAACAAAATAAAGAAACAAAACAACGAAACACAACGTGTTTTTCCGATACCGCACACGGTAGGAAGATAGTTTCTTACTCAAACAACTACCAAATGAAAGAGATTAACAATATCTAAAAGCCTACACAAGTTTCAACTATTTTCTGACAAAGAAAATAATCAAAATACGGCTTTTAAAACTAAAAACAAACACACTACTGGCCAGAAATTCCACTACGAATCCAAAACTCTCGCAAGGTTTTCCGCGCCACTGCACCCACACGCCCATTGGACAATACAGTGACCAATCACAACACACATATGGTACCATTCACTACCGCCACGGCTCAATGCGCCATCTCACGCACGCAATACGTGCATACAAACCCTGAGAGAAAACCAACGAACCATCACTTCTCGGTCTCTTACTAACACAACCTTCTCAAAAGAGAAATATCCACCATTCTGCCATTGTTATAATAAATAAATTGGAATATAACCCACCCCATCTTACCTTATTCGTTATACTCAAACCACAAACCCCTCAACTACCATGGCAAGAAGGAAACTCAACCAAGAAACCAAGAGATCAATACATCAACTGAAGTCTAACCCGACTTCTCTCACAAATGCAATCGTAAACCAAACGAGCCAACTCCAATCATTTGCGCTCATTAGCAGAACAAAATATCAATCCTTCATAACCATTCTATCCAAAGCAAAACCATCGCAAACCGAAATATTTGCTTGTTGGACAAGGCCTCAACATCTTACCTACTTCTGCTAAACCAAACCGCAATCACTCGTAAGCAGCATCAATAATTATTTGGAGTGAAGACTACAATTTACATTAATAATGCGTAACATACGCTCTATAAACCATCCTTTCAACCACCAATTGGCATCCGAAATCATATTCTAGTGAAACGCTAGAAAATACCCGGAAGCCACTAATTTTAAACTTGCCCACAGGTTTAACACATACAATCTTAGGATGAAGAAAAATTAAAACAAACTCCACCTGTCTTCACCACGACATACAACCCAACCATAACACACCGTCACTTAAATCGAGCAATAAACAACCATCACTGGAACATAATCCAAGGCAACAAACTACTGTGCGGAAACATTTCCCGAATCATAATTCGTTGCCTTCAGAAAAGCCTTAAATCATATCCGGGAGTAACTACCCAAACAAAATCAAGAGTTAAACCCACTCCCGACCTACTCCGGCTCTTCCAAAAAACTAACCGAACCCGATTGCTCTCCTCACTAGAGGAACAAGTTGAAACCAACTAAAGTCACATGGTTGTAACCACAACACTTCAAACTTACGATACATGATTGGAATACAACCAATCCCAACCACAACTTTTCCGCGAGTCAGCCTCGATTCTTTTTTGAATCACCTATTTGCAACTGAAGAGTGCCCAACAGCAAGGCACGAAAGCATGCTATTGCTAACAAGAGGATTTGCGAACAAAATCCTCTGCTCGCACCCTTAATCACATTTGATTACCCAACCTATCATAGTCACTTAATCTCTTATGTCCGCCCACTCTACATTTCACTCGGACATAACCGGCAAAGACTCAGTCATGCTTACAACCCATACTAAGCCATACAAGTCACCAGAGAAGAAGTGTCACTGAATGGGATAGTGCCATCCCTTTTCCAAACTTCTATGTTATACTCCTTGCCCCACCCCGGGGTATTGTGGGTCGATGGCCATCAAAAACTGCCCGAGAATACCGTCTTGATTAACAAGCGAGGTATCTTCAGGTTGCTTCTATCTCTGTTTCTCAGTACTTCAAGTACATCCACAGACTTGTAACAATCAGTCTGCCACACACGAGACACAATATCTCACGTTCCACCACATGTACACTTCATTTCGGAAAACCAACAACCATATTTCCGCATACGGAAAACATGATCTTGACTTGTTATAACAACATAAAAACGCTATGCTAGCAGAAGCATAAGCACTTGATAAATGGACATACAAATTATCCGCAGACGGATAAACTATACCCATTTTACACCAAACAACACAAAACAAGACAAAAACCCACAAACCTAACCCCAAAACAAAGGGTTCAAAACAGTATTGGCCTCCCCAAAAAAATCATAAATCAATCTCAACATTGAATGGTACAAACAAAATAAACAACCCACATTTGGGAAAGAAAAAGTACCATCTCCACATAAATATGCATTCGTATTAACAAAATAAAGAAACAAAACAACGAAACACAACGTGTTTTTCCGATACCGCACACGGTAGGAAGATAGTTTCTTACTCAAACAACTACCAAATGAAAGAGATTAACAATATCTAAAAGCCTACACAAGTTTCAACTATTTTCTGACAAAGAAAATAATCAAAATACGGCTTTTAAAACTAAAAACAAACACACTACTGGCCAGAAATTCCACTACGAATCCAAAACTCTCGCAAGGTTTTCCGCGCCACTGCACCCACACGCCCATTGGACAATACAGTGACCAATCACAACACACATATGGTACCATTCACTACCGCCACGGCTCAATGCGCCATCTCACGCACGCAATACGTGCATACAAACCCTGAGAGAAAACCAACGAACCATCACTTCTCGGTCTCTTACTAACACAACCTTCTCAAAAGAGAAATATCCACCATTCTGCCATTGTTATAATAAATAAATTGGAATATAACCCACCCCATCTTACCTTATTCGTTATACTCAAACCACAAACCCCTCAACTACCATGGCAAGAAGGAAACTCAACCAAGAAACCAAGAGATCAATACATCAACTGAAGTCTAACCCGACTTCTCTCACAAATGCAATCGTAAACCAAACGAGCCAACTCCAATCATTTGCGCTCATTAGCAGAACAAAATATCAATCCTTCATAACCATTCTATCCAAAGCAAAACCATCGCAAACCGAAATATTTGCTTGTTGGACAAGGCCTCAACATCTTACCTACTTCTGCTAAACCAAACCGCAATCACTCGTAAGCAGCATCAATAATTATTTGGAGTGAAGACTACAATTTACATTAATAATGCGTAACATACGCTCTATAAACCATCCTTTCAACCACCAATTGGCATCCGAAATCATATTCTAGTGAAACGCTAGAAAATACCCGGAAGCCACTAATTTTAAACTTGCCCACAGGTTTAACACATACAATCTTAGGATGAAGAAAAATTAAAACAAACTCCACCTGTCTTCACCACGACATACAACCCAACCATAACACACCGTCACTTAAATCGAGCAATAAACAACCATCACTGGAACATAATCCAAGGCAACAAACTACTGTGCGGAAACATTTCCCGAATCATAATTCGTTGCCTTCAGAAAAGCCTTAAATCATATCCGGGAGTAACTACCCAAACAAAATCAAGAGTTAAACCCACTCCCGACCTACTCCGGCTCTTCCAAAAAACTAACCGAACCCGATTGCTCTCCTCACTAGAGGAACAAGTTGAAACCAACTAAAGTCACATGGTTGTAACCACAACACTTCAAACTTACGATACATGATTGGAATACAACCAATCCCAACCACAACTTTTCCGCGAGTCAGCCTCGATTCTTTTTTGAATCACCTATTTGCAACTGAAGAGTGCCCAACAGCAAGGCACGAAAGCATGCTATTGCTAACAAGAGGATTTGCGAACAAAATCCTCTGCTCGCACCCTTAATCACATTTGATTACCCAACCTATCATAGTCACTTAATCTCTTATGTCCGCCC